TAAGTACATTTATCATCCAAAAAGTTTCCTAATATATTGGAAATATGTTTTAATTTACTATATTGTAATGATGTTCAAGCAAAATTGTTGCAATGGGATGACTTTTGGTAACTAATTAAACGTTTTGAGAACAAAGGATTTGGGAAAAGAAGCATTCTTATTCTGATATATTGATGATTGGTGATAGCAGCTGGTCATTTATTTGACTTAAATCGCAGCAAACTTAAGATTAACGATACCGTACTCACTTGTCGCGCAAATGCGAATTCATCATGTTTTGAAACAGGGGTATTTTGCCATTTCCTCAAGTTTACAGCATAAGAAATACCCCAACCTTTTGGCAAGTCCGTAAGAATAATTTGCATTTATACCAAAAGTAAGCCTTAAATGCCAACGTAATACACTCTGGCACTGGCCGCACACACGAAACGGAATTTGGTTGGGGATAGACATCGACTTGAACTGGTGGGAATGTACAGGCAATCAAGTTTATTCTTGAGCCTGAAAATGGAAATTTATTGCTTTATCTGAGGATCCTGTTTGGACAAGGTAATTTTTTTTTGTATTATTTTACTGTCCTTCATGCTTCGTTTACAATGTTGCCCACAACAAGTACGAAAATTGAAATTTGTTTTGATTTTGTAGCAAAAACTGTTGGTATCATTGAGCTACAATATTGGAAATGTTTGTCGTTTTTAACAGATAGCCAAACTTATTATTTCAGTGATCAATTTCCCTCTTTACTTCAGTTTATTTCCTAGCTCTTTGTGAAGAGAATGCTCTAGAATAATGTTGGTCAAGTGTGGTTTCTCGAGGTTTGCTGAAGATAGTTTCGGACATACCATCGCCTCGAGCGATTGTAAATCCCTTCATAACATAGCTAGTAAATTTGTCTACTCAAATTCAATTGCGTGAGCGTGCTTCATATTCCTATTGTGCACGCTCATGACGTCAGCAAACAAATCCCTCGAGAAAAAAAAATTTCTCCGCGATTTTTTACTTTAGGATTTTACTAAAAAAAGAAATTAGTTTAGACGCTAGAGTTGCTCTCGGCTACGCCTCGAGCAACTCTTACACATCTTTCGTGCTCTCCAAACTTCCTGCGTGCTTAATATCTCGATGAACGCACGCTGACTTATGAACCAATTGTTAATTTACGGTATACTCGAGACATAAAGCCCGAACGTCGTTGATGCTCCTTTGAGAAGCAAAATTCAATAACTTTTGGCTAGAGTAGGCACTGAGACAAATTTCATGCTTATGCGTCGATCAATTCGAAACTTCAACTCCCTTTCCCCCCCACCGGGTATTTAAATCCTTGAAATTAGTTCCTTCAAATTCCCGTCCTCGGGGCCAAAATTATGTTCAAATGCCCTACCCAAGCTCACTTTTTTCAAAAAGGAAAACTCAGTGACCGTGACTTTCTACTTATTTACCAAGCTTTAGAACTCTAGACCTTGTAGACCTTTACTTCTGAGACATTCGCTCGCGAAAATGAAGTCTTTAAATCTCTTCACATTTTACGACAAAACACGTGTATTCCGCTGTAAATACTTGACATTTCCGGCTCAAATTCGCCACCCCAGTCAGGAAAGGTTCAAATTTCCTATCCCTGGGCACAAGTAAAACACCCGTCGGTTGCCCGGGGGAAGGGGATGTTGAAGCTTCGAATTTATATGATGCGTTACTTTTTGGTCTTGGTCTACATATACTCCCTTTTTGAAAACGTCTGTGTCAGGGGTTGGTATTTGTTACTAAAATGAGATGCAAAACACGGCACTCAGTAAAACTTAAAGTCATGATTGGACTGACCGATTTAAGGAGAACACATTACGAACTTGTTACCATTATCAAGCTAAAAAAACGACATGCATCGTACCTATGCCACTTCTTTACCTCTCTCTTTACCACCAAAAAATAAATGAAATATGGTTTCTTAGTTTTTGTGTCATAGATGTCTTCGTTTTCGCTACAACCGACAGTTCAGTGATGAATGAGGATTTAATTCGAATTCGTTGTTCCGTTTTTCATATAGACTAGGTCTTAAGCTAGTTTAGACCCATGGAAAGGAGTTTTAGAAAATATCCTTCACGAATAGTCTCTCAAAGTAAAATAGATCTTAGAGTAAACTGAAGTAGCGATTACGTGCGCATTCCAACAAGGTGATGTTTATTTCAAACAACACTCAATTCATGTCATTGTCCTTCGTGAGAGCGCTCATGTACTCATTTTGCGCTCATCTTTGGTGAAAAAAAGAAAAATAATTGCAAGGAAGCATCCCGAAAGGTTGGATTTTCTTTATACCGATAAAAATATTTAAACATACCAAAAACGAAATTAAGACCCACTCAAAAACATGATGTAATTTACCAAATATCTAAACCGTTGGCGTGACAAGTAGGATCAACTGCAAAGTGTAGCTTACAGGCATCAGATTAGAGTAAATCACCAATCACCACCAAATGAACTTGGATGGAATTCATGGGAATCTTTCCTTTTTCAAAAATTTTCGTTCTCAAAACGGTAGGCGAAATCAACCATTCAGAGCGTTAATGCCTGATCGAGTTCTTACATTCATTGGGAAATCAATATTTATCCCATTGGGGTAATGCTGCGCAGAGATATTTGCTTTTGCCTAAAATCAACAGTTACCTCCATAATATTCGGAAAACTTCCGGAATTTGATCTCATTCGGGACGAAATAAGTACTGTGAGCAAACATTGTCCAAAGTAAATGGCACTTCCGGATCGAGGTATCGAGGTAACATTGGAAATACCAAGCAGAAACAACAAGAACGTTTTAATGCCCATTTCGTGGTTAGGACTGTAAAATCAGGCCAAATTTCAGCCAAATCGGCGAGGTTAAGGGGCCGCGATTTTTTGGAAAAGCTCGAAAGTTACACACCATTGCTTTATTCCGAAACGCTATGATTGGCAGAGTAGTAGTCCATTATGATTGGCAAATTAGTAGTCTCTGCGCAAAAAATGTC